TTTCTTGTTCTAGGTCAAAAAATCAGTGGGCACTGTCTCTGAAACTATTTCTATTTAGAAGATTAGAAAGAGTTTGGGTGTTGAGTTAGCTATACTTACAAATGTAGGTCACCTGCCTTTAGTTTAATCAGTGCTTTGATGTGTGTATCTTTGGGCAAACATTGTTGTTTCCTGCAATAGTCTGTGTCCTTGGAGGGTTGCAACCAATCCTTACTCACAAGTGCACATTCCACATCATTGATACCAGAAGTATACGTTCCATAATTACTTATTATGTTGAATGTTCAGACTGAGTAGTCACACTAATATCTGTCTACATTTTACAAAAGGTATCATGTATATATTTCCAAAGGAACAGCAATAAAACATAACCCAACTTTCAAGAAAGTCCAAAGAAAAGTGATTTTCATCCTCAAATTCTTCAACAACAAAATATACTCTTCAAAATTTATCTTCAGAATTAGGCTTTTTCATTCTAATCAGACAGTTTAACGTAAGGGGAAAGAACAGGGCTTCTTTCAAGCCCACCACCCCCTTGTCTAGCTGGGGGATCACAGAAGAAGGGTTGCTTGCTTTCCGAAGTCCCCAGTCCAAATGGCAGCCTTCAAGAAGACATAGCAGGATGCTTTTTGTCACTTCTGACTTCCTCAAAATAAAATGTACAGCATTTTAAAAAGAGAAGTACTAAATGAGCACAAACCTTGGTATATTTAGTCATGATCATATATATGAAATATATTTAATCACGTACATACACACACACACGGATGAATATCCAGATTGCCAATAACCAGGATACCTACCACTAGTTCTGTGGTTCAACTCCAATATGCAACCATGAGCAAATTGTGGCAGGTGTCAAGACCACTCTGCCCTACACAGAAAATGCTTTTTATTAATAAAAAGCAGTAAAAAGACGCAAGAAAGTGAAGGACCAGCAAATACTGTATACAATATTTGCTATTTGCTTTGTTTTGAGCTCCTACTGATCTTCTGGACTTAATGTGGAACTACATGTATGCACACACATGTACTCAAACGTGAGAAATACACATACGCACAATCCATATATATGAACATAAGAAAAATGAAAATCAGACACCCTAAAGTCAGGCTTTAGGCCTTTGTCTCCCCAAAACACATTTACGTCCCCTTCATTTTTCCTCAGAGCTCCTCACTGCCTGGTCCTTGCCCCCTTTTATATTCTCCTTTCTTCCAGGAGTTGTCTTTAAAGTGGCAATCAGAATTATATAAAGGACACTTTATCTTGAAATTTTTCAAGTATAAACTAAATGTACTTTGCTGATTCAATTATCCAAACAAATAAACTCTAAGTTAAAATATAAATATCTGGCTGGCTCAGCTGTCCAAATAAAGTAAAATCTCAGAGTACAACAACCAGATGTCATACAACATTATCAAGGTCTTAAGTCAAGGCTCAGGAACCCTCTTTCCAGAAAGCTTGGTGGGAGAGGCTTTCCGGACTTTGGAGTATTTGCAGGGACTTGACTGGCTAAATACTCCTAATTCAAAAATCTGAAAGCTGACATGTTCTGGTTTCTTGAATATTTGGATAGTCCTGTTACTCAGAAAGCTTCAGATCTGGCGAGAGGGGCGGGATTCTAGATTCTAAGCTATGGCTATTTCACTTTTACTCCAAAACATGAAGAAAAGCTTCACAATTTTCTTGATCAGTGTGCCCTGCTTTTCTTTTCCAGTCTGTCCATGCTTAGCTTATGTTCAGAAAGTCATGTGTGGGACTTTGTTCCCTACTGTAGCTGCTGTGGTCTGAACACTGGGCTCTCCCCCAGATTCCTGTGTTGAAATCTAATAACCAATTTGAGAAGCTCAGGAAGGTTTCATGAAAGGGACTCTACAGCCCTTGTAAATGGACTCAGTGTCTATAGACTGAGGTCCCTGACCTCAAGCTTCTCCCATGTATGGACACAGGAGAAGCCATTGTATGTGAACCAGAGAACAGGCCCAACCAGGGGACATTACATCTGCCAACCCCATGATCTTCAACTTCTCAAGCAATGGAATTATGAGAAATAGATTTCTGTTGCTTATAAATGAGTTGGCTTGGGATATTTTTGTATAGCCGCCTAGACAGACAAAGACATTCACTTTCTAGTGAATTAAACATAAAAACGCTTTCCCCCTTTACCTAAATGTTACAATAAATTCTTTTTGCCCACTCTCTTTGTCACTATTAATGTATCTTTATATACACAGCAAAATGGAGTAGTAACCCCTACAAAGACAGCTGCTGGACTTTCTAAAACATCCTGCCTTCATTACAAAATACAAACATCCCTCTAAGAAAAAACTATGTCCTGCCACATCTCCACAACTTCTGTACTGACTACGGGCTTCTTTGCCCTAACGTGAAGTTACAGGTAACTGATTGGTATCTCCACACATCCTCATATCTCTATCCTGAAGACTGCTAAAATGTCCTCTGGAGGCTCTCTAGAGGAACCAGGTGTGTTCTTTATGGAATCAAGGAGTGACCACTGTTAGACTACACACAAGGTAACCCAATCACAAAAAGACAAACATGCTATGTACTCACTCATATGTGGATTTTAGACATAGAGTAAAGGGATTACCAGCCTACAATCCACACTGCTAGAGAAGCTAGTAAACAAGGAGGACCCTAAAAGAGACAAACTTTGTCCCCTGGAGAAGGGGAAAGGGTCATGATCCCCTGAGCAAATTGAGAGCATGGGAAGAGGGGGGAGGGAGCTACGAGAATGAGAAGGGGCACAGGGCAGACAGTGAAGACCCCCTATGGAAGGCCTCACCCTCCATGGGGAGCAGAAAGTGTGTGTGATAGGTAGGGTTTTAGTTTGGGGGGTGGCAGTGGAGGGAGAGAGAAGGGAAATGGGATTGTCATGTAATTCAATCTTGTTTGTAATTCAAATAATAAAAAACTTCAAAAAAAAAAAAAGATATGGCTCAGAGATAAAACCTCATGACCCTGGTTCTTCCACAATCTTCCTGTGTTTTCTTCCAGGGCAGGCTAATCAAACAGAGATGACTGGGCCATTCCAGAAAACACATTACCCTAAACATTTATTTTAATGTTGCTTTCTAGCTATAATTATCACCTCCATTAACACCTACTGGACTCATTATTGAATTTCACATGAAATTTTTACTGGAAGCTGCACATCATCATGCCATTTATTCTTAATAAAACATCATGTCATTTATTCTTACTGGTAACAAATAAATGTAATCATAAAGATATTATCTAATGCTTTCACATTATCATCAATGTACAGCAGGCAATTACAGTCAAGTTTTAAGATAATCTGGCTGCTGTGGATTCTTAACTATTATTTAACTACTAATTTTCTTTTGTTTTATTATTTAGGGTTTCAGAGCTGGTGAAAGCTAAGTACCATCATGTCCTTGCATTATTAGGAGGAAATAATACAGGGCTCTGTCTGATAATATGTAAACTAGGGCTTACTTTGATGTGCACAGGATAGGTTTATGGCTTGACTTAGTGACAATGGCCCAATACACAGTTAGTCCCAATAGAACAAATGCTTTCTGCTGTCTAACTGTGACCTGGGTCAACACTGGAACTGCTAACCAAAAATAAACTGTGGATGATATCCCTTTTTCTGGACTAGGTTATCCCTAAGGACTTCTTAATCGGCAAAGGTCTATTCTGATACTAATAGCCACATTCAAATACATACTTCAAGAACAATAGCAAAAGTATATGAATACCCACAAGATGAAAAACACAAGCATCTCTGAGACACTTTCAATGTCTCCTTTCTTTTAAATAGTCCACACTGAAATGTTTTCCCTTGCCATGTTAAAAATATTGTTTAAAAAATAAACATTTTTAGCTTCGATGAAAATAAAAGCCTATACTTTCAGCAAACTCCATAAACAGTAGATTAAAATCTCTGGGTACTAGATGCTCTGTTTATAATAAGATTTAATGCTTAAGATACAAGAGTAGCATGCTTACAACAAAATACATTTCTTTGTAATAACAGTGACAGAACAAACCCACTTAGGAAGTAAACCCCAGACACACACACAAAATAGGAAAGAGACCAAACTGGCCTCCTTGGTTAAGTCAGTTTCTTTCACTTTAACGTGGACCAGAACAACTCAGAGGACTTAATCAAAACACAGAATGCTGGAGCTGACCCCAGGGACTCTGACTCAACAGTTTCAGGGCAGAGCTTGAGAATCTACATTTTAACAAGTTCCCAGGTACTGATGAGAGGATGCAGCCTTGAGATCATCCTCAGAACACCATTCACTGTGTTTCACTTGGACATGGTCACCACCTCTGTGGGAGGCTAAGGACACTTTGTCTAGCCTCGCAATGTTACCACAGGGTTTCTGCTGACAAAACACTGTGAATTAATTATATCTACAGCAACAGTGTAGCACATCATTTTTGAGATCACAGTAACTCAATTTTGAAGACAATTAGTAAAAATAAAAATACTTCTATGCACAGACAACATCCTTAATCCCTTAAGAATGCCCAGATTCAATGGTAAAAGCAGATGTTATGTATGGTGTCTGAAGGCTCATATGTGGGTAGGACTGTTATGACGTGAGGAGAAACTTTGGCAGTGAGAGACAATCATGCCATCAGCCAGAACATACATGTGAAGGAAGTTTTGTTGGGAGAAGGGAATAGAGTGGGGAAGGGAAGAGAGAAGAGAAGCGACAGAGAGACAGAGATGAGAGAGACAAAGACAGAGAGAGAAGAGAGACAGAGATCTGTCTGCCTCCTCAGAGAACCTGCACAAAGAGAGAGTGGGAGTGGGTGGAGCTTGTCTCTTAAAGGGACCTTTTGCTGCTGCATGCAGAGACAGGGTACTGCTTGCCATGCATGCAGGAGTGACACACCGTGCCAGGTCCCCAAGGGGAGAGGACAAGGTGTGCCTGGATGCTAACAGGGACCTCTGACTTACTGTAGGTGCAGAGTGGCCTCTAAGCTTGGGCCTTACCTGTGACTGGGGCATCAATATCCAGCAAGTTTTTTTCCTGTCGAAGAATCGAAGCACCCTCTGTTATTATTCTCAATGCGACACTTTCCTCCAGCCTGCCCTCCTTCATGAGATGTGCTTTTAAGATATCCACACGAGGCTTCCCATCATTATCAAACACCTCCTTTGCTGTCAGCCGGTGACTTGGCGGAAATGGAACAGCTGAAAGAAGAAAAGTCAAGAGGTTACGTTAGCTAAAGCACATCCACAACAGGCTGCCAACCAGGGAATAACTACTCCATCACTAACTAGCTAGTGCTGTATAGTTAATATGTTTTCAAATTGAAATGCAACCAGGTTCTACCAAGAATTAAAGACTGCCTTCTTCCTTGGATTCTAGAAATGATCAGTAGCCATGGAAAAGGGGCTGATGGTTGTTCTCAGGCAGTGCTATTGTTTACATATGAAAGATCCTGATTAAGTATATTTAATCTTTAAGGAGAAAACTTCCTGTTAGGCAATCACCAATTCCATAAGTGAAAACTGATCCTAAACATCCTCTTGTAATCCCTCCGGCAAAGATGGTTCTGCTCAGCTGGGTGGGACCTATGCAAGGGATAAGACAACCAAACAAACAGTTTGTCTGTTCCAACTGAAGCCACATCTCTGAGCCCTCACCCTACTACTAACTGCCCAACCCCCCCCCCCCCCCCGCCCCATTACAGGAAAGAAGTTTTACAGCAGGAGACACAGAATACACTGAGACTTGAAGACCAAGGTAAAACTACATTTGAAATTATGTCAACAACTCAGCCCATAATACATTTGCCACACAAACTTGAAGACCCTAGTTTAATCCCCAATACCCATTTTCAAAAGGTCACAAAAAGTGGTGCTATGTGCTTGAAATTCCGCCCTAGGAAGGAAAACAAACAAACAGGAAATGAACTATTCCATGTGGACCCAGCTGTGACTTTCCTCAGAGTCCAACCATTACACCCATCTGACAGTCTTGAGGCAATGAAGAGCCAGCAACAGACTCCATGGGTGACCAGGAGGCTTTTGTGCCCAACCCAGTGAACATGAATAGAAATCTTAGCTCTGAACTCTCAACTCTATGACCTTGGTAAGGTTAAATAACCTCCTCTGGCTTCAGTTACCTCTTCTGTACAGTGGGATTAGATCCATCTGCAGAGTGCTATAATAAAGTAAATAGTAAGAACGGCAACTAACAGCTACAGTGCTGTTATTTTATGCCAGGCGTTGCGTAGGTAATAAAATCAGACACAATGGGAAGACTGTAGACTCGTAAAGCATATGTACATGTGTTTATGTATAAACTCATTGAGTTCCCAGAACATTAACGTGTGGGAGAGACCTGATGTTCAAGAGTTTTAAGCACTTTGCCCAAGATAATCACCTACTGATTTACCTGTAAACTCACTAACTTTACACCCATGCCAGGATACTTATGTTAGTAATTAAGCTACACAACTCCCCAAAAAGTACTCAAGACGACACATACTTATTAAAAAACAATCAGTAGATCACATCTCAGAACGAAATTCTGACACAAGAGGAGTTTCTCATAGATACAGTTTTCCTGTGACAAAATAGTCTTTTTTTTTATATTTGTTAAAGGGATCTATTGGGCTGTTGTATAATAGACAAAGCAGAATGTCAGCTCATAGATAGCCATTCCTCCCAGAAAAGAGAAAAGACATTAGGTCATGGAGTTTAGAAGTTCGGTTGCCATTTGGTTCTTGACCCTTGCCAATACTTCTTGCCTAGATGTTTATTAGGAAAATGTGGAGGCCTCAGGAGATAGCTCTAGCAGAGCCTGGAAAATGCCTGTGTTTGCTCATGAGCACCAACAGAAGGCAGGCACTTCTTCATGGGAGGATCCCTCAGGTTCACTGGCCTGCCAGCCAGCCTTGCAGTGAACTGTAATCAGTGAGCCCCAGGTCCCAGTGAGAGAATTCCTATCTGAGATGACAAGGTGGCCAGTTTCTAAAGAATGACACCAGATGCTAAACTCTGCCCTCCACGGGCATTCAAATATATGCACACATTCAGGAATAAAGAAAGCACACAGACATTTCAATGGCCACATTTTTTTTTTTTTTCTGAGCCAGCACCTCACGATGTAGCCACACGTCTCAAACTTACGAGAGATCTGTCTGCCTCTGTCTCCTGAATGTGAAAGGTATGTGCCACAATACACAGCAATAACTGTCCTTTATATCCTGAGATTTTATGTATGTTTGAGATTCATAGATATCTTACTGGCCATTCCTCAAAGTTACTAAATCATAAGTCAAGAGGGCATCTGTTAGATGGAAGGGTGTACAAGGTAGACTTCAAAAAGATCCTTGGAGTAAGGGCAGGATTTGGTTTTTAAAATAAGAATCATTTCCCAGGGTGCAAGTTAGGCAATTGTGAAGGTTTAAGTGGCTCGAGGAAGCTGTCAGACAAGACAGACACACAGGAGGGAATGAGAGCGTCCATCAGTCGGATGAAAGTGATGACCTCATTAAATTAATGTAGAAAAAAGGATTCAACCTGGAAACTGCAAAACATCCAAAGGTGAGGTAAAAGGAGGAAAACCTAGGACAGACTCCTCTTCGAAATTTAACTTCCTCTCAGACCTCATTCTTTGGCTTTCTCCATTGCCAAGATCAATGCAACAATGGATTTTCCATACTTGTTTGCAAATTTTTCACATTTTATCTAGGGTGTGTGTGCGCACATGTGTGCACTCATGAACACACAGAGGTCAAAGGATAGCTTTGTGGGGTGAGATCTCTCCTTCTTCCTACACACAGGTTCCAGAGATTGAACTCAAGTTACCTTGATTGGGCAGCAAGTGCCATTAGCCACTGGGCTTGGCTGAAGTAAAGCCACCATTTCTGAGCTTTAGGTGCTCTGTCTAAACAAACAGTATCAACAGGAGGAGGAAGAGGGAGAGGAAAACAGCCAATAGCAGGCCCCATTTCCCATTGGCTGAAAGAACACTGAAGTGACCTGGCCTCTCAGCAGGTCAGACAGATGGCCAAGCCTGTAGGAGGCGAGCTGGGCTGCCATGATGCCAATAATGATGCCCAGAGAGGCTGAAGGCCAGGGAGAAGTTTTCCAGAACAAAAATAAGAGTGGACTAATATTTGTGTATTTGTGCACCTTTTGGCTTCACAGGAAAAAAAAATACCAGCCTCACAAAGGTCACATTTATTTGCTTTCTCTCTTCACCTACAGCCCTACATGCAGACCTGTGCCAAATGCTGAGCAAAAACTATTTGGACCAAAGAACTCCATGTGCTTGGAAAATATTTCTTTCCCATTAACTCATTGTGAAAGCAATTGTGCTTAAAACATAACAAACATGCAGCTCTCCTTCCTTCCTTTACTTTGAGGACTGCAGTCATTTGCTTTCTTTGATACCAGAAGAGGTGAAGATTCTGAATGCTACTAAAACTTATCAATAGCTGCTGCCATTTGAGTTGGGTCTCTCTGAGACCATTTTCTTATGATTGCCTTAAACACAGAATAATCATATAGTACTTCTTCTTAGAAACAACATACAGAAAAAATGAGAACACTTAACTTTCTCTAACCTCACCTATCTTCAAATTAATACCATGACAAATACTAGGTAAACCGTAAACCGTGGGATGAGGAGTGATGCAATTCTTTCATTATTAAGATAAAATTGCTTTAAGGACAATTTTGTTGACTGTGTTCTCCTGTCACAGATAGAGGACTGGTAGACCCATCTCCAATGGTCAAAGATACGACAGTTTCTTTTCCTTTGTTAATGCCACCAGGGCTCAGCTGTATGATATGGAGAAATGCTTTCAGTATTGACATCAATTGAAGTTGCTGTTAGTTTTACACTCACCAGCAAGTAATGCCACGACAGAAGATTCAGTAGCAAGAGTGCCCAGAGCCCTGGGTCCAGCTGCTCACAAGGACCACACCTCAAAAGGATCCACCACCCGGTCTCATCCTGGGTTTGGAATGAACAAGGTCCTAAACAAACCACTATTGGGTATCAGCAGACATCCATAATTTCTTGCTTCTTGTCTGATCTTGGTACCTCCACTTTCTGTTTCTCATGTGTGAGGAGGCACTTCCACCCCCTCCTGAAGGCATTCCCACTATGCTACAGGAAACAACTAAGAATCACTGTCATAGTAACAACTTCACTGGAAGGAGGGATGGCTTTCTGCTGCGGGACTTCTCTCTGGAAGAGTTCATAAAATGGTGACAAGAGAAAATCATAGATCTAAGAGAATATTCTGCCCAGTGAGTTTATTTTTTTAATGCTTAAGTGCATTATCACCTGAAAACACAAACACTATAAATTCCCAATGGAGGAAGGGCTTAAATGCAGCAGGCTTGCTTGCTCCTCCAGGACCACACTAGAGTCCTGAGGATGGTTTGGAGATCTGACTGACTCAGCAGTTGAGAGCACTTGCTGCTCTTCCAGAGCACCAGTGTTCAGTTCTCAGAAAGTACACTGAGCAGAGCACAATTGTCTGCAACTTCAGCTCCAGAGGAGCCGATGCCCTCTTCTTGGAGGTGATGCATGAAGATGAGGCCTACAGAGACAGGCAAGTTTACATGCATGCACAGAAATCATAAAACAGAACCCTGAGGCTTCTGCTCTATTTCTTTTTTTATGTATAGAACACATGAACTTACTTATTGGAGGTAGGTACTACTGGACCTGAGACATTTTGCATGCTAAGCACAGATTCCATCTCCAAGCTAACCAGTTACTCTTCATCTGGGGGTCTTTAAAGCAAACTAGAAAATGTTCATTCAACACTAACCCACTAATATTAAACAAGAGTTTTTATCATCAAAAAGGTTACTCAGGGGTCAAACCAGTGCTGTCATCAAGGCATTCTGAATTCTACATTAGTCTCTTGACCTTGAGATGGGCACTTCTCACCATGGTACTGACAGTCATAGGTGGTTGGAAAGTAGAACCAAGACATGTTGGAAACCTATAATAAGCCCTGCATTTGGAAGATATAGTGTGTGTTTGTTTTCCATCACAGTGATAAGACACCCTAGCAAAGCAAGTTAAGGGAGAAAGGTTTTAATATTTGGGATTACAAATATAAAGGGATGCAGTCCATCATGGCAAGGAAAAGATAGCTGTGTGTGTGATGTCTTATTAATATTTATATTTATTTAATATTAAAATAAGATGTTTA